GAAACGTGTAACCGGGGTGAAAAGGGTGTTATAATTACTTAATTATGAATATTGTTACATCAAGGCCGAAAATTAGGATGAGCCCCAACGGTCAAAAATGTTTTTTTCCCTCCCAGAACTGCCAGCGCAGCGCCTCCACAGATCTGGCACCCTAGGCGAACATCTATAACGCCTACGCCAGTGCTACGGACCGACCCTGAGTTCATATGCAACTCGCAAATATCTTTCTCTCTCTTCTCTTCTCTTCTCTCTTCTCCCTTCTCCCTTCTCTCTCTCCCTCTCCCTCTCTCAATTTTGGTGAGCAAATTCGCCTTTTTTCAAATGACCCGGTGCTCTTTTTTTGGCGGAGGTGCGCATGCGTACCTGCGCACCAGTTATGTGCAGCCCTGGTTATAATTCCTGTTTTCCTGCATGTTTCCTAGCGTGATTCCTCTGTTCTTTTAGAAGTATTTTGTTATCCTGTGGATCAACAACAAGTGATTTGGCTGAATGCCAGCCTGTAATCACAGTGACAAACAATGTTACATAAGAGTGACGCCAGTGTGTCTTCACTTGCATATAAAAACCTAACCTCAATAATAAAAGCTGGAGAACTCTGTTGTAACTGTACACATTACAATTTGTTGTATTATCAAAGGCTTTTCATATGATGGCAGGAAATACAGAAAAAAATCCAATACTGTCCTCTAGCTCAGTGTGACATCGTCCAATCGCATCTATTTAATTATATCCTTTCCTTCCTTTTTCTAGAATTGGACAACACTGTGTGTGTGCTGCTGAAACAATATGAATGTTATTATACATTTCATTTGATTAAGAATCATAGTTTGCCATCATGATATTGTACACAAAGATGTTGTGTTCTTCAATTGAATTGACTTTACTGAATATACAATACAGAATATTTTTAGTTATCAACTGTTAATATCAACAACTCAACTAACTTGTTCGCACTGTAGACACAGGAACACGAGCCAAACAACATGATCAATCAATCAATCAGCCTGCTGTTGACACTCTTCTTCACACCTCTCAGACAGCCAGCCAGCCAGAGGTCCTTCTCTTTTCTGAAACAAGATGCATGTTCCTGGTAAAACCATAAAAGAGGTTGTTGATTGTTGGACTTCCTGTGTCCAATTTGCTCTGGAAACAAAAAAAGGAAACGGGCGCTTCTCTTGCACTACAATATGATCTGTATCATTTTCCTATTAATCCCCCTTTTCATTATGAAAACGGTTTCACATTGGTTCTAACAAAGGCCACATACCAATCTCAATCTTTATTTATTTATATAGCACATTTAAAACAACCTTCAGTTGACCAAAGTGCTGTACAGGCAATAACTACAATATTAAATAACACAATGGGAGTACAATAATAAAACAATAATTAAATACATGATAAAAAGCACAATAACTATAAACATATATAAAAAAAACACATACAAATGTAAAAATGTAATGTTCAACTAGTATTAAAAGCCAGTGCAAAGAAGTGAGTTTTTAGCTGAGATTTAACTCAGCAGTCTGGATATTTAATGGGAGGCTGTTCCACAATCTGGGAGCTGCAACACTGAAAGCCCTGTCACCTCGGGTTTTTTTCCTGCACTGAGGAACCACCAACATATTTTGCTGAGCTGATCGCAATGCTCCAAAAACAAGTCATCCTAATAGTTGCAACTAAAAAAAGACAAAGTATATATTTTTTTTAGGTAAAAAGAACTGAATTTATTATAAATAATTTTACAATTACATATCAATTATACTAAATCCTATTGAAATGATGCGTTGAATCCGTACAGTGAAACTAAATGTGGACACAAGGTGTGTTTAACAACTAATACAATCAAAAATATAATATTATGTAACATATTGCGTAAGTCCCTGCCAATATCTCACTGTCTCCTCTTGACCCGGGGCAGAGGGAACAGTCTCACTTCCCAGAATCTACGTCTATGCGTCACCACCATTTTTTTAGGTGTGTGTGTGTCTCCACCCCCCCTACTTATGAAGTGCATCTCTTTTTCTCTTTTGAATGATGACCTCGCTTTCATCACTGAGACCGCCCTCATCAAGATCACCAACGATCTCCTCATTGCTGCTGACTCTGGCCACCTCAGCATCCTCATCCTCCTGGACCTCTCTGCAGCGTTTGACACCATCTCTCACAACATCCTCCTCACCCGCCTCTCAGACCTCCTAGGTGTCACTGGCACAGCGCTGTCCTGGTTGACATCCTACCTCCACAACAGGAAACAGTTTGTCTCCATCAGTGGCTCAAACTCACCCCCGGCCCCAGTCCACCACGGTGTACCCCAGGGCTCTGTGCTTGGCCCCCTCCTGTTCACCATTTTTTCACCATTTCAGGAATCGTTATATAACTGTTCTGTAAGGTTGAGTCGAGGGTGAAACGGATGTATAAATCACTTCTGGGACTTTTCCATGTAAAGAAACGTCTTGTTTCCCTGCTCTTATCTCTAACTGATACATAGCAACCATTTAACTCGTGTCCAGTTTTATTAAAGCTTTACATTTTCTGTTGTAAACACACCACGTTTGGCAGCTCTTTCCTGGAAAGAAAATCATGTAGTGAACAGAAAATGATCTGATGTACGCTTCCTGCTGTTTGATTTATTGAAATAAGTGGAAGAAGAACAGTGGCTGGCAAAGGAAGGCATTGTCTGTTTTAGATTTTCACAACTCATTATTTGGAACACATTTCACAACTAAAGCTTTTAAAACCGCAACTATAAGCCAAGGATAAATGTTACCTTGCTCAAGAAAAACAAACTATGAATATCAATCTGTCCTTCTGTTAAAGGGGCCCTATTATGCTTCTATTCAGGGCGCTAGAAAATAGAAATGCACGTGTAACGTAGTGATGTCATTATGTTAGAGAAGTGAAAAAAAGTTAACTTTGTGATTTTAGCCTTTGCAGACCATTTACATGCACACAAACCTACATAATACACTAAAGAAATGGGAAAACACCAACAATCACAATAGACCTCTTTAAACTCACTCAAGAGCTCTGTTTCCACTCTTTTATGTTTGCTAGCAGTGATTTTAATTTGAGATCTTATTTGCAGGAATGAATCCAATCAGGTGACACTAGCATTGCTAATAATATTCCAGAGAGGTCTTCACAGGTCCAGTCTGTGTGTATTTATAATTTGGACCAAGCCCAACTCCGGGCCGGGGTCAGCACTTGTTTACTTGCTGAGTGAAACCCGTGAAGACCTCTAATTGTGCATGTCTGTCACTGGGTGTAATTTACTGCTCAAATTAATGTTGATGAACAGTTTTTAAATCATTAGCAACCAAAAATGTGCCAAAGCGGTTTTAATGTATTCTAGTATGCTTGAGATTGAATTGGTTAAGCTAGAGACCTTCTTTTTTTCCTTCATGGGCAATAACTAATTAGATTGCAAATGTTGCGACACACACATTAACAAACTACTGAGACAGGCTGGTGTCATAGAAGGCGAGATGGAGAAGCTTGTTATCACGCAATGTACTGAAGAGGTGTTTTATGTAAGTTGTTTATCAACTCGTTGTGTGTTCATCACCAGCGTCCATGCTGCGTTAAGTGTGTGTGTGTGTGTGTGTGTGTGTGTGTGTGTGTGTGTGTGTGTGTGTGTGTGTGTGTGTGTGTGTGTGTGTGTGTGTGTGTGTGTGTGTGTGTGTGTGTGTGTGTGTGTGTGTGTGTGTGTGTGTGTGTGTGTGTGTGTGTGTGTGTGTGTGTGTGTGTGTGTGTGGTGTGTGTGTGTGTGTGTGTGTGTGTGTGTGTGTGTGTGTGTGTGTGTGTGTGTGTGTGTGTGTGTGTGTGTGTGTGTGTGTGGGGCGGACATCTGATAAAAAGGAGTTTAACGTCAACGGTATTAGTTACACAAGCTGGCAGCCTGCAAGGGCATGGCGGGGAGAGGAGGTGTGTGTGTGGTGGTGTGTGTGTGTGTGTGTGTGTGTGTGTGTGTGTGTGTGTGTGTGTGTGTGTGTGTGTGTGTGTGTGTGTGGTGTGTGTGTGTGTGTGTGTGTGTGTGTGTGTGTGTGTGTGTGTGTGTGTGTGTGTGTGTGTGTGTGTGTGTGATATTCTTATTTAAACACTTGTCCCATGGAATGTGTGTGTTGTGTCCTGTCTTGTGTTTCATAAGCCGTCCATATTTATGATCCAGCTCTTACATAAGCCTCAGATCTGGTTCAGTGTGTCTCTGCCAGAAGAACTCAGAGAGAAGGAGACTGACAAGAAGAAAGGTGAAATTCTGATACACATAGTAGAAGAAACAGCGAAGTTGACATAAAGAAGAAGTTTAGAAAAAGAGGGAGAAAGAAAACAAGCAGAAATGAAAGCTGCCACCTGGTGCAGTTTTTGTTTTTTACTGAAGTATGCTCTGGCATAGGATGAGAAGAATCCTCTTCATGGTGTTTCGCAAATGTAGTTTAGTTTAATGTCAATGAAAACTGAAATCCTCAAAGGCTCCGACTGGCAACCACAGCTTAAATGTGTCGAACCAGTTTGATGGAAACTTTCCATTTCAAACATCGTAGACATGCATCATTAGAAGTACGTCAGCAGCTCTTTAAAAACAGGTCCTCATAAATATAAGAATACCTGTAAGGATTTTTATGTAGAACCACATTTGACCATTTTGAAACCAATTTGAAATACTAGAGCACAACTGAACATTGAACATCGTTTTTTAGGTGAAAACCGTTACAGACAGACACTAAAGACCTAAAGAGAGGCGCCTCTTAATATTTGTTATGTTTTCACATTTGTTATTGAGCTGTATTAGTGAAAAGCAGTTCCGTACCATGCTTCTGGGGTCATCGACCCGTTGTTGTGAAATGACACCAGGTTCTTTAAATGTGGTAGTTGAAAGATTCTAAATCGTAGATGTTAAACATCTGACTCATAACAAACATGATGTCCCGCTGAAGAATCTACTTCTCTTAAACTTTAAAATAACTATTACTTATTCTCTTCCTTCTTGTTTCCCACAGACCAGTCCCACAGAGCCCCCTTCACCTTGGAGAATGAGGCTCAGGGAGGCGACTCGGCCGCGTGGCAGTGTACCCCTCCCCCATCTACCTCACCTGCAGGGGAGACACCGGCCCACCCTCCCACTGTGTCCAGACCCCGCTCCAGGCCGGCCAGCCGAAGCCCCTCCTCTCCCTCCGCCCTGACAGGAACCAAGAAGAGAAACTCCAAACCGGCACACATGAGGCGCAACATCAGGTACTGAGCTCTACATGCTTACTGCAGGAACCATCGAGAGATCAAGTGGACGCGTTGATTCTGTAGGGAGCCTCAAGAAACCGCAGCAATTAACCCACCATCATCTCTTATATAAAGCAGGTTGAACCCTTCATCTGGAGCTTTAATAAGAAACTGATCCCTATACTTGGAAATTGTTGCCATGACATTTAAACACATGTTTCTAAGTAATGAATCATCTGAAGGGATTTGCTTGTAAAATATAAGGCCACATAGATAGCACTTTTATTTATTCTATTAACGGTCAATGCAAAGTATTAACCGTATGTTGGTCAAAGTTATATTTAATCTGAAATCAAAATGGGGAGTCTCTTAAGAGTTTAAAAAAAAAGGGTATTTAATACAGCATTAAAAATAGACTATAGATGTTATATAAAACAAAAATCCAACCAAACTACAAGGTTGTAAGTCATTTTTTTTTAAACTAGATATTTGAAAATGACTCATGCTTGCCAGGCAGTCAACCTTGAGATGAAAAGTGTGTTTCTGCTGAGGTGCAGAAACACTCACTCAGCCTATTCCACTATTAGCCTATTGTATTTTTTATAATGTTCATTGTTGGCTGCATAATAGGATTTATCATCTGTCTTTATGCCTTAGTCCTCCGATTAAAAAAAGAAAGAAAAAAGAGCAGAAATCTGTCAATGCTTATCCGTGCGTATGCTCGGTCTGCAGCTCCATTCCTCCGGCTGTCAGTAACCACCATAGGGCTCAACCTCAAGTATGCTGCTGATTTTTTATGCAACAGCATTTTTTCAGATAACATGAAACATATGCCAGATATTTAAACCCTTGCTTTAATGTTTGTTTGTGTACGTTTTTAATGAGGGGACTCTAAATAAATAAAAGTATGCAGGGTTATACAAAATGTAGGAACATTTGCTGGAGATAGTGACAAAATAAAACTCTTAGCCAGGTAGTATGCAGTGGGTTTTAGCTAAACTTTTTATCTGAAAACACACACAAAAAACACTGTTTGATAAGATGAATCCACAAATGAATGCATATACAATGAACACCATATCTTCCTGTAGTTCAAATGACACTGACATGGCTAAGTTTATTAAAAGACTGTAAATAGCCTAAACATTTTTATTTTTCTATGCAGGAAGTTACTGAGGGAGCATCAGTTAGAGGCAGTTACAAAAAGCGCCCAGCAGGATGAGTTGGAGAGGAGGAGACGCCTGGAGCAGCAGAGCAAACAGGATTTCCCCGTACCACTGCTGCCTGAATACTCTACTGGTGAGAGCATGTACCCCAGAAAAGGCTTCCATAAAATATAATATCACCCAAACTGTCAACCAAATAATTCAGGGTTTAACCAGGTTTAACATTGTTTAACATTTCAGCGTAGACTATACATTAAGCCATACACATATAATGTTATAACTAACCCTTGATCACTGCTTCCATATTTTTTATCTTCTTTTCTTTTTACTTTCTCTACTGCTGGGTCATAACTGTCCATTTCTCCAGGTGATGTGACAAAGCATGTGTCGTCATCGTCGGCATCAACAGTGTTGAAGGAAGTGAAGTCTGTCAGACCTGAAGCGATCTGCCTGGACTCAAGCAGCACCGGCATCAGCGAAGACGACAGCAAGACCAACGTATCAGCCTCTGCTGCCACCGAGCGCAGACATAAAACAGGTGGGACACACACACAAATACATACAGTCGTCTTGGAGCAACTCGGATCAGCAACTAATACTGAAAAACTCAAATGCAGAAACTATTTCCAAACTATTCCATGTGTATAACTGTACTTTTTTAAAAGCAGGATTAGCTTATAGGATGAACTTATAGTCAGGATAAAAAATAATATAATTTTCCCTTTTTATGTTAACCAGGCTTTCAGACTGCGGTTTGAGTGTGTAAGTGGGCTAGTGTGTCGGATGGCTGTGGGGGGGGGTCATTAAGCGGATCGGGACACAGGGCTGAGAAGGTTATTTAGTACTACCCATCATTCAGTAGTATATTCTCAGCTGTCCACATAGCTAGGCAAATATTCAACCCAGTCTCACGGCATTTCGTGTTCACCAACACGATTTTTAATCTATTGATTCGTGTTCACCAACACGATTTGCCCCTTTTTTTCGTGTTGCACAGCACGATTTTAAAAGCAATGTATTTCTACTGCCTGCAGCACGTCTTTTTCTCCGGTCGGGTCGAGGAAGACCGGAAGCTGTGTGGTTCATAAAAACATGTTCTTACTCAATATCAAGCCACAGTTATTGCTTTTATTTGAAATCGTATAATTTCGGACTTTTGTTGCCGTCTGTGAGGAAAATAAATGGGGCTCAGAGCCTCAGGATACTGAAATCTGTATTTTTAAATATTTTTTTCCTTCTAATTCGATATTCTTTTCAAAATAACACACTGTTATTTACTCACCAATAACACACAATTATCCTTGCTTTTATTTATTGGTTTAATTCCATAATCTCTGGCTTTTTTGGCGTCCGTCAGGAACTGAATTTCAAAATAAAAATAACCGGAAACAGACGTAGGCCTATAAGGGACATTTCGAGCATCATTGCGATTGTCAACATTTCTGAGTTTAGGATGGCCGAAGACACTACACTACCCATAATCCCCAGCTATCGTTTAGGACTACAGTACCCGTAAGGTTACGCAGAGCGTCAAACAGCTGTGTGAAATGGAACGAAACCACGCCAGACTATCCTAAACTGGAATCGAACGCCTCCCCAGAACTACACATGCTGGCTATTGTGTTTCGCAAAATGTTCTATGGGACGTCTCTATTGAACGTTTTCGTTTTTCCCACAATTAGAAGTTGCCAGTATTAAACACATTGGTGTTATCAAATGTAAAACATATAATTAATAAATGGGTGAAAATCGCTTGTGTCCATAATGTGCAGCATTAATACCCACATGGCAGCTCATTGTTACTTTGTAATTCTACTCCACTACAATTCAGAGGTTAACCTGGTATCTTTACTCCACTGCATTTATTTGAGTTACTTTGCAGATTCTGATTAATTATGTGAAATATAAACAACCCTTAAATCAGACTTTAGTTACACCAGAGTAAAATTCAGGGAAGGTGATTGTCAAGTGCCAACAATCAGGAGAGATATTTGATATCATATAAACACCAAATCCCAGCATGCATTACGGCTAAAATATCCAATAAGCGAGCTTAAAACCATAGCTGAGGATCTTGGGTAATCGCTCAAAATGCCTACGTCTGTTTCCGGTTATTTTTATTTTGAAATTCAGTTCCTGACGGACGCCAAAAAAGCCCGAGATTATGGAATTAAACCAATAAATAAAAGCAAGGATAATTGTGTGTTATTGGTGAGTAAATAACAGTGTGTTATTTTGAAAAGAATATCGAATTAGAAGGAAAAAAATATTAAAAAATACAGATTTCCGTATCCTGAGGCTCTGAGCCCCATTTATTTTCCTCACAGACAAACAAAAGTCCGAAATTATACGATTTCAAATAAAAGCAATAACTGTGGCTTGATATTGAGTAAGAACATGTTTTTATGAACCACACAGCTTCCGGTCTTCCTCGACCCGACCGGAGAAAAAGACGTGCTGCAGGCAGTAGAAATACATTGCTTTTAAAATCGTGCTGTGCAACACGAAAAAAAAGGGGCAAATCGTGTTGGTGAACACGAATCAATAGATTAAAAATCGTGTTGGTGAACACGAATCAATAGATTAAAAATCGTGTTGGTGAACACGAAATGCCGTGAGACTGGGTTGAAATATTAAATAGGGCAAATGCTAAAGAGCCAAGTGTGAGCTCGGTACATCGTGTCAAGAGTTTCAGATGTCAATGTTAAACTTTTTTAAGATTGAGTTTAACAATAGTTTCTCAGTTTTTCAACTCAGCATTTAGTAGAATATTGTGTTTACTGTTACCTATCTATTTAGTTTGAGATTTAACCCACATATGATTTACAGATAAAGACCTTGATGGGTGTTAAACCATATCAGTGTTAAGAAGCAGATGCTCACATGACATGAAGACATGTAATGTATGTTTCACTTGTAAAAACCCCTTCTTAACTTATCACTGCAGCACAAGCAGGTGGTTGTTTAAAATGCAACCTTGCACATTTATGATCCATTTTCAGATCAAAGTTGTTAATAAAGGAATTTAATATAGCGAGCTATGGTTTTGGAGAGAGTGATTTAAGCCCCTTTCAGTCATGGAAATCTGTAACATTGCTTTCAAGTGATGGCTTTTCAGTTTTCTTTCATTGGTTAAATAGAAAGGACTGTTATGATTATAGCTACATTCTTGATATAAATGATTACATTCCGAGTGTTGTGAGCTTTTCTTCTTATGCCTTTTACAACATTTGGAAAAGTCAGCCACCCGAGTTCAGCCATAGGCCATAAAGCTAATCCACTCGTGCAATTTAGGGTCCAATAACTTGCTCGAGGGCATGTCTATCACACACTGAGGCAGTCAAAGCAAAACACAATTTACAGTTCTGCTAGTTTGTCTGTGTCAGGCTGAATCCTCTCATCTCCAAAGATCAGGCAAAGCAGCCCTAATAGCCTCATGACAGCCATGCTTTTATTAAATTACACACGCTGTTTCAAAATGCTTTCTGAGCCCAGGGGTTGTAGAGCGTCTGGGAATTAAAAGGCTGCATCAGCTTGAATTTCCAGGAGAAAAAAAAACATAGAGGATTGAAAAATGACCCAAATTATAATAAAAAACTAAAAACATAGCGAATATCTGGGCCAGTTGTTCATCTGAAATGT